AATAAGAACACGAACTTAGGGACCCTGAGATGAACTGGTTGTTATGATGGCTGGGAGAGCATCCGGGAATGGTTTGGTTTAGGATGCTTGTGCAAACAGAAGACAGCCAAGGCTTTCCATCTATCTTGAATCAGGCACCTTGCAAGTTATCTGCTGAAGACCTGGGATTCTTGAACTTGACCTTCTATAAACTAGCCTTTGACCCCTCCCCAGTACCAGTCAAGTAAATCTCTCTGGTAGTACCACCCATGAACTATAAGCACAGGCAACACATCATCAATTCAAAAAACAGGATCTTGGGACTTTCAAGGGTACTATTGGAGTTGTGGAAGCAATGATGTCAAGGCAGGGACCACAGCTGTGTGCAGGGCTTGGGACTGAACCTAAGGTTTTGTTCACGTCAGCCAAGCATTCTATTAACTGAGCTGCATCCCCTGCCCAGAAAATGCTGTTTTGTTCACACCTCCACTACACTTAAAATGAATTTTTTTTGGTCCAATACCTCATATTGAGGCTTCTGGAATACAAGCCAAGATTTCCAGTAGTAGCATTGCAGGTGGTTTGCTGTATCTGTTATGCGCATGTCATGGCTCATGTCCTAGCTAGATGAATGACAATAGGATGGTCTCTGGAAAAACAACTTCTAAATTACAGTCATTCTCATACCCACGCGGCCTAGAATGGCAGATTTATTAGTGGGGAGGTATCATTTAAGAATGTGATCCTTGGCCAGGCAGTGGTGGCACATACCTGTAATCTCAGCACTCTGGAGGCAGAGGCAGGCAAATCTCTGTGAGTTCAAGGCCAGCCTGGTCTACAGAACAAGTGATACTTTCCAAAGATGACCACATTGACGTCCACCAAACACATTCTCCTCCAGTATGTCCTTGGGAATCCGTCAAGAAGAGGCAGAGTGCAACTTTCCTACCCTTGAACATGGGCTGGCCCGAAGGACTTGCTAGAACCAACTGGTTTTGGTCAAAGACATTCTATAGAATTCCAACCTGCTCCCTGCCTCTCTCCTGCAGCCAGCATCATGCTACATGGGGAAGCCATAGGAAGGTACACAAGATCCCATGGTCCCAACTGAGCTTCCTGTGACGGAAGACATGGGACTGGGTGAGGATTCAGCCCATGTAGGTATCTCAGCTACTCCAGGGTTCTCGAGTGAAGTCGCAGACACTGAGGTAAATACAAACTATCTCCACTGTGTCCCACCTGACTTCCTGCCCCGTAGACTCTGTGAGCATGAGAAGATCAGTAATGTGTATTTGGGGGTGTTCTTCTACCTCACAATGGTTAGTGCTATACACAGAGTTCCCACAGCCCTCGGGTGGGTGAAGGAGGCGAGCTGGCCTTCTGCACTGACGCAGCAGGGACTCCCAAAGCTTCCATTTCTTTCTCTGGCCTAGGAGTAGCTCGTTTATCATGGTGTAGAACAGAGTCAGCCGGGAAGCAGCGGAGACAGAGATTTTCTTAAACATTAGCCCAAAAGCTCCTCTGATGGATCTTCCTGTCATCTGGAGAGCAGAAGTGACTCGTGGAGACGTGGCAAAGCTATTAGCCCACACCCTCCAATCCAACTTAATGGATCTAGGTGAAGCTTTTGCATCAGATGAAAACCAAACCCAGGGCAGCATGCGGGCGGCTATCAAGAGGCTGTGCCATAAACACTGACATCACTCTTTTGTATAAGGATACATCAGCATCTCATTCTGGTCCTGAGAACCAAGAAGGCCGAACCCCAGCCTTCCAGGAGGGCCTGAAATGGGAGGCCCAGGGTCAGGTACCTGTCTTATTCCAGTCTGGGTTTCTCCCCATGAACTGGTTGCAAAGAATACTTTAGCTTGGACCTGCTTTGGTAATTCCTTGAGGGAAAATAACTTGTTTCTGTAAGCAACAGAAAGAACTCTTCTGCAAATTGACCCCAAATTTTCAGAGCAATAAATGACAATACTGGTAATATTTAATAATTGTTCCACCTCCCTTGCCTCTCTTCCTCCTCCTTTCTCACCCTTTTGCCCCAAACCTAACTCCTATTTTCTCAATGCAGATCTTGCTGTCTTGCCCAGAATGGTCCTGCACTCTTATACTCAAAGACATCCTTCTGCCTCAGCCTCCTGAGTATCTGGGACTACAGATGTTTACCATTGCATTCAGCAAATTAAGTCTTAGTCTAAGGGATCCCGATGTGTGTTTCCTATTTGCTACCAGGTTCCCCTCCCCTGGATATTTTCTCACTTTCAGTCTTGAGTTCTTGGTTGTAATATTGAGTTGGAAGTGTTATCCCAGCCCACCAACCACTTGGACTCCAACTCCCAGCCTGCCAAGCGCTGACCCCTCCCTGGGAAGGGTCAGGACCACTCCCACTGGGTATTTAGGAACACATGGTTTTGGGTTTGGTGTGTGCTCCCTCTGTCTTTCCCCTGCCATGTTCCCGACCACCCGGGACCACCTTCTATTAAACACGGGCATTTACTTTGGTTTAATCTGGTCTGATTGGAATTCTTTGAGCCGGCGGAGAGGCGGTGTTAGAAAATATTTCTAACACTGGTTAGCCAGGAAAGTTGGTCACTTGCTTGGGACCTCTAAGACATTCCTACTTCTCACATCAGAAAAGTCGCAGCATAATGAAAGTGCCATGCGTGAAACCAATGCAAACACACGTGCTAACAGCTTTTGAAGAACCAGGCGTGAAGTTAGACCATGAGAGAAGGCACAGAACAGTCTGCCTGCCACAGAGCTCTAGGCAGAAGTGCAAAAGAACATCGGTAAGCGACAATGTGGGCTCAGGAAAGTGTCACAGGGAAAGAACATGTAATTAGGGACACAAGGAAGATCAGGAATGGAGGGCACAACTGAGGAGGGGCAAGCAGAGCAGACGGGAGGGTCTAGAGGCAGGAGCATGGCATTTAGAGGAAACTGCAAGTATCTCAGAAGGCAGAAAAGGGAAAGAAGCGGGCGCAGAGAGCAGGCAGACAGGCCAAAGGGATCTTTGTCCTGCAACATTCAAGAGATCAAGCGGAACTTGAGAGTATACAGCAGGTGGCAACTAGCAGGGTTCAGCAGAGGGTGAAGCCAGAAGGCCAGGAAGCCCTTCCATGCTGGGGAAGATGTGCACTGAGACCACCAGGGAGCTCTCTCTCATCCCACCCACTCTACTGTGGGGGTCAGATCACTGGTGAGGGGTGTTTCCTCTGCACACGGGAACACGTTTTTGGGAGGACTGCTGGACAGCAAGGCTAGCTTCGGTATCATCGGTTTTGAAATGCATCGGGGAACAGCTGGGTGGGCTCTGGAACAGAGGAGGCAGAGGAACCAAGGGAAACAGTGCTGAGGGAGCTTGGCCTCTGCTCTCCTCCTTGAGGGAGGCCCAGTGTAGGAAGCCAGGTCTAGTTGGGGTGCTGGGGAACATCTGAGCAGGAAACTGCTTCTCCAGGAAGAGCCATAAGTCAAGATAAGGGGAAGGGGAAGTTTCCAAGCCGAGGGCCCCAAACAATTCTGACCCAATTTTCTCACAGCAATGCTCACCACACCCCAAAGAAAACAAGCATGACTCAACAATGATGCTGTTTGGGGGGGGGGGGGGGTGTTGGCTGCTGCAGCAGGCCAGCCTCTCTTACTCCTCCTCCCACCCTCCTGCAGGCAGCCACCTATAGGTGGCTCCAGCCACCTCCCTCTCCCTTGTCTTCTCCTCAGCTTTCAGCTTCCAAGTGGAGTCAGGAAAAGCAGCTGAACTATGGCTGGGGCAAACAGGACATTTTTACAGCTACCCTAGGGGCTGCAATACTGGGAGTGTCTGCAGCTCCTTCTAGAGACAGAGAGTTGTGGAAAGTCAACAAAACACAATGTCAGAAATGAGCCCCTGCTTATGGGAGCTGAGAGCCCCAGGTAAGGTGCTTAAACATCTGTTAGGTTTCAGCTGAGCTGATTAACGCGGGGATAATAACTTCTTAGTTGGAGGGTTTCTGGATGGCACACATCTCAATCTCAACATTTACAACAGAATAGACACGGGGAAAATATGAATGCCAACAGCAGGTATTGCCCGCCCAACTCACGGCATTCTACCTGTGCTGGCTCCGATGCCCCAGCAAATCCTACAGGCAGTTTGAGGGCAGTGATACATGTCGTACATGGTTTCTTTCCTCTGACCCTTAGCCAGCATTTATTTCCTGGCAGACCGATACGTGCAGATGTTTCTTGGGGGAACTGTAATGCTACACTAAGCCTCTTAACACCCTGGGCGCACATTATCGACCTTTAATAAGGAGAATAATGTTTTCACACCTTCTGCGCTATTCGATGTAGTCTGGTAAAGAAAGGGTAATGCTGAGCAGTGGCTAACGATGAGGGCGTGCTGCTCGGGGGGCACCCTCCTTGGGGGGTGAATATTTCAGAGATTGACGGCACAGGTTTATGCACCTAATGAGCCCTGCACCCCCAAAGTTAGAACTATTCGTGTCGCCACTTTGAAGATGAGGGGAACGGCATCCAAAGGTCAGCCAGGGGCTCAGGTATGAGTCAAACCCAGGTCACTGGCTTCAAAGCCAGCCCTTTTGACTGCTGTTATCCTTGTGGGCTGGCCAGCAAGGTGCAGAGGTTACTCAGATCTAAGGGCCTTCCTCCGCCTCTTCAGCAGGCCTGGGGCAGCCAGCACTGCAAAGGATACATGTGGTTTTGTTCCACCAGCTCCACAGATCTGAAAATCACCTTCTTCCCTAAGTCGTTCACCGCACCAAGCTTTCTTCAGTAACCCTGGGAGTATCCAGAGGTTGCTGCCCCGGTGAGATTGAAAATTATAGCTCTTAAATCTAAGGATTGTTAACTTATCCAGAAATAAAGTCCTTCTGGCTAGGACATCAAAACAGAATATAATCCCCCCTCATCAAATAAACCACTACCCCCAAACAAAATATAATCCCCCCTCCTGAAACAAGTCAGACAGTCTGTTTTATTTCTTTGTAGTTAAGAGTGAAGAAGACAACAGGCAACAAACAGTAAGTGCATTCTGCTTTAATGTCCCAAATATCGGTGCGGATGGGACCATGCGCAAAACAACACAGAGATCTGTGGACAAGCACGTCTCACTCGGAGGAAAACTGACTAGAGAGAAGGCACCAGAAACCGTATGCTGTCAGATGACATGTAAACATGGGGACATTCACAGTGGAGCGGGAACCTCATCATTTCACGGGCACACCCTACCGACAGGAGATGGCCTTACTGCTGACCCTCAGCCTCCAAACCTTTACATGTTGGTATAAGCAGTACCTGATGCTAGGAGACCAAGGGGCACACAGCAGCAGTTGAACAGGGCAAAGGAAGGGACAGACGTGAGTGCGAGCTCTCAGGTCTGCCGTTCTTCTCCCCCACACAGTGGTAGTGCCTCACAATTGGCTGTTTATCAAGTGGGAAGTAAAAAAACCAAGTCCTAAAAAGCCCAGGCGAATACACTGTTTCTGTTCATGCTCTTCAATCGGTGGTGTGGATGGGTCCTGGGTGGAGGGACGTACCACGTCTGGCCATCTTTCTAGGTGATGACAGTGGGGGCAGTGCGTCCTGTCCTCTCCTGGAGCTGGGACACCTTCAGAGCAATGGAGATCAGGGGAGCCAGCATGACCTGAGAGAAACACAAACGGAAAAACCTTTTCCATCACTTTTGTCAACAGATCCCTAGTCCATGACTCCAACCACCTACTCCAGGGCTCCAAGATACCCGAAGCTCTTTTAAGTTAATAAAGCGAACCCAAGCCTGGCTCCAGCCCTTCTCATTTCAGTTAGCCAACTCCAGGTCTACCCTGAGAAGCAAGTGACCAAAACATTCTGGGTATTTCCTCTCCACATCCCCCACATTCATCCCATCAAGTCCACGAGACTCTTATGCTGTAAATATTTTGCCAGGGTACCCACTTCTCTCTAATCCTCTGCCATGACTCCCCATAAAACACGGTTCTCTTAGCTGGGTCCTTCTACATCGTCTGAGCTGATGCTCACATCTGTCAGATGCAACCCCCTCCCTCACAGCAGCTTTCACTGGGGGCAGGGGTGGACCCCACTGTTGAAATGAATCATCCTTGACATCAGACAAACAAAAACTCCATGTAGTTAGACTGACTGTTTTACAGAGAATACCAAAGGTGTGCAGTGATTGGACATAAATAGCCCAAACAGGGCATTTTCTTGCCATTACTGTCTTTCATCTCCATCAAATCATGCTAACTGGGAAAGTCGGCACCACCCGCTATGACTACCACATGCCACTGTCCTTGCAGCTTAAACACAGCAGCAGCAGAGTAAAGGCAGGCACTCCCCAGGTGGCTGGTGGTGTCTGCAGGCACGGAGAGAGCCACAAACGTTTCAGTTGATTCTCCACCCTGGGAATTTAAGTTCAGAAGAAATATATTTTTTCATTCCTCTGCCTAGCACAGACCAGGCTTTAAACTTGAAGATAAAGAGAGAGCTAACCATTCCCACCTTTCCCTTTTCTCCTTCTCTATTATCTTAAGAACCTGTGGTGTGGCCCCCAGGGCCCTTGGATCAGGTTTTAGGGAAGTTAAAACCATACACAGATATGGAGATTTCTGAAGCTGGAACCTGGCTGCTGGAAAAAGTGTGACAGAAACAGAGAAGCAGGCTCTTGTAGCTCCGTTTTTGTTTTCCCAGCTCCTTTTCAACAAATGCAACTGTGCACAAAGTATCTAGTCAAATTCAGACATAACAGCAGAGGGTTGGCTGCAAGTACTGATGGAAAACCAGGCTGCCACAGAGGGTCAACCTTCAGCTCTGCAAAAGCACACCTTGGGGTGCTACACACATTATTAGAAATGGGCTAGTCCAGGTGAGAGAGTTAGCTGAGAAGAGGCTAGATATAATGGGCCAAGCAGTGTTGAAAAGAAAAAAAAAAGAAACAGAGAAGCAGGCTCTTGCAGCTCCGTTTTTGTTTTCCCAGCTCCTTTTCAACAAATGCAACTGCGCACAAAGTATCTAGTCAAATTCAGACATAACAGCAGAGGGTTGGCTGCAAGGACTGATGGAAAACTAGGCTGCCACAGAGGGTCAACCTTCAGCTCTGCAAACTGAAAAGGCTCTGGCGCTCTGCTGGGAACAATGCAAACATGCTCTACATATACTTTAAAAACATGATAGACTGGGGGGGGGTTACAATTAAAAATTTAGGGTCAAAAAATCTGAAAATGGATCGCTCTATTTTACATCTTTTGTGTGTATGTGTATATACACACTTACATGAGCCAGATGCATACCACAAAAGCACACGTGGTGGGTGAGAAGACAGCTTAGGGGAGCCTGTTCTCTCCTTCCACTGGGTGGCTTCTGGGGTTCAAATTCAGTGCCTTTACCGGCTGAGCACCTCACCAGCCTTGAACTGCTTTTGATTTTTAATTTTTAAGGTTTTAAAGATTTCTTTATTTTCTGAATATGGGTGTTTTGCTTTCATGTATGTAGCGGTACCACATATGACTAGTGCCTAGGGAGGGCAGAATAAAGGATCAGAGTCCATGAAAGTGGAGTTATAGATGGCTCTGAGCTATCATGTGAGTGCTTGGAACCAAAACCATGTCCTGTGCAAAAGCAGCAAGCACTCCTAACCATGACATCACCTTTCTTAAAAGCTGATCGCATGTGCCAGCCCCAGTGAGGAAGCATTTTAAATCCACTCTCTTTCCAAATCCCTACAATGATGTAAAGTTATCACTGCACCATTTTATATACAAGGAAACCAAGACACAAAAACATGGAACACGGGTCTTCAGTGGCAGGAAGAGAATTTAAAATAAGACCTCACTAACTCTACAACCTATATGCTCAAACTCACTACACTAGAATCTCCAAATTGGAGTTTTACAAGCTTTTATCGGGTACTAGAAGAAAAGAGGCTTTGTGCAAAAGTACATATGATACACATTACTTCATTTCTTTTTCACAAAAATTGGTTTATATTTGAGGTATCAAATGTAATTTTTAAAAATCTGGCTCCCTGCAGGATGATGAGGTTTATGAACGCTAGGCAAGCACTCTGCCATCAAGTCAAACTCCCAGCTCCCAACAGCAGCGAAGAGGTGAAGGAACTACTACTATCGAACCACCTGCCACAGCCAATCTCGTCACAGCTCTTCTTATGCCATGGTGGTAGTGAAGACATCAGCAATATGTTTTCTCAGAAAAATGTAAGCACTAAACACAGCATTACTAACTACAGGCATCACCGTGACTCTGTTCTCGCCTGCATCCTGCCTAACTGCAAGTGTCTACCCTTTAACTAACCCTTCTCTGTGTATGAGTTAAATTGTTTCTTTTTAGCTTCTGCAAATAAATAACCCCGTATGGCCTCTATCTCTCTGGGACTGTCCTGTTTTGCTCAGTATAATGTTCTACAAGATCACCGTGTCGCTGCAAATGGCAGGACTCTCTTATTTTTAAGATGGGGTAACTTTGTCCTGTGTGACTTGGTCCCACCTTTATCTCTTCATCTGTTGCTAGGAATGAAGCTGGAGTCACAGTGGAACCATGGGCACAGCAGCATAGCAACTGCCTACGAGGGCAGCCGTCTCTCCAGCACAAAGGCTCCAGCTTCTCCGGGCACAGACCCAGGCAAAGATTGTTCATTGCACGGAAGTTCTTGGTAACGTGTTTGTTTTGTGTGTGTGGTGGGGGGTCACACATTTCTGAGAACTGCCATACCAGTGTGCTTCCTGGTCCCCAGCATGACACTCACCTCAGGTCCTCTTGTCAACAGCCAGTCTGCTGACATGGGGTCCTAACATATTCTGGCTTTCCTTTGCATTTCCCTTATGAACAGTGACAGGGTCTCTGTTCCACAAACTTCCCGGCCATTTTTATGCCTTTGGAAAACATCTGCTGAATTCTTAGCAGATGCCATTTAGATGAGCATCTTCCAGGGGACATTGTCTTGAGCCTTTTATGGTACAATATGAGTTGTGAACACCAAGAGAGCAAATGTGCCTTATCTCCTCCACACTCTGTGAATCTAAAGCTCTGGCTTAGGAGCATCGGCCAAGGTGAGTGCTCTGAGGAACACACCTGGGGACCTCCTCTGTGCACCATTTATCCTCTTAGCTCCTCGGTTTGGTGACTATTCTGGAAGTCCAGGACCCCTGTTCATTCTTACACACTCCACAGGCACCCAACCCAGTAGACTTTTCCAGCAAGACACATAAAATTGCCTGTCCCCGCTTGTCCCTGACCCTGACAAAGCTGGAACCAGCAGAGGCTTTATCAGGGCAGGTGACCCAGCAAGCAAAGCGATGCATGATCAAAGACAGGCCAGACATCATGCAACGACTGATGCAAAGAACCATTTTCGTGTAACTGCCACTGAATAGAGCGCAGCCCTAGTCAGTGCCTGTTGCCTTCCTGTGTCTCAGTGCCCTTATCAGTACAAGGGGGAATAACAGTCCATATAGTCTGAGAATTAAACGAATAGGAACTGGGGCAAGTAAGGGTGCTTGCTATAAGTATCACCAGATGAGTTAAATGTCTGAAACCCACACAAAACAAGCTGTGCATAGCTGTGCACATACTTCGAACCCCAGTGCTGTGAGGGGGAAGGCAGAGAGAGGAGGGTCACTTGCCAGTTGCCAGCCTAGCTGCAGGCTCAGTGAGAGACCCTGTCTAGGGGAATAAGGTAACAGCAGGGCACTAGATGTCTTCCTCTGACTGTCAGGAACACATAGGCATACATCACTACATACACCGTCATACACACACACACACACACACACACACACACACACACACACAAACACAAGAGAGACAGACAGATACACACACACGTTAGAGAGAAAGAGAGACAGATACATACACACACACAAGACAGACAGACACACAAGAGAGAGACAGAGACAGAGAGGATGAGATTGTTAACTGAATATATTTATACAGTGGGTGTAATCAACAACAAATGTTCAGACAAAGGTAATTATTACTGTGGTTATTATTGGTCATTTTGTTCTAACACACTAAAAGAGACAAAACAAAAGCTAGTGAGCCAGTGACCTGATGGGTCATTGAGGACAGGCAGTGATGCTGCAGGTTCGGCAGACCATAATCACTCCCTTGAATCAAAATAACGAACCAGGGTACAGGACATAGGCATTACCTGGGGGTCCTGATTGATTTTGGCAGCGTCCTTCTCATAACTATCAATGTACAATCGAATGGTGGCCCCTGCACTCCCGGTGCCACTCAGTCTGAAGATGATACGAGAACCATCTGCAAATATAAGCCGCAAGCCCTGGAAAAAGATAAGCAAAGGGTTTTTCCCGGCGAATGCTGAGAGGGAGACTGCAGACTGGCAGACAGGAGGGGTCCATTTGGAGACCCAACCTTATCCATTGGGGGATTAGATCCTTGATAGATGGCAGCAATCGAGCCCTGTGAGTCTGCCTTCTGTCAGCCTCTCGCTGCATCCAGACAGAGAGGCTTAACTATGTAGGAGCAGCATCTCCAGGGTCATCTGGGAGATGCAATCTTGGTGGTTGCTGCTCTCATCCCTGCCCATTTCCCCGTGATTCATGGACTGGTCATTTCAGCTTGAAGCTTCATAAATAAGTCAAGCTGCTGGAGGAGAACCTGGCTCAAAGCTCTGGAGAAAACTGCAGGCAGATGAGAGAAAGGGCTCTGTAGAGCACTGCGAGGGAATCTCAGAAAAGGGCCACATGCCCTGGACAGGAGAAGCGGGGCTCATCCTAACCCAGCACGATCCAGTGGCCAGTCCTCTGATGACTAATAACCCGAAGTGAGGTCCATGCGCGAGCAGGGCCTTTTTCTGTTTCCCTCCCTCCCAGTACCTTTCTGCCTTACTTAGGGCGAGACTGGGGGCTCCGAGACAGCTCTCTTTCAGCACAAGGAAGAAAGGCTATGTCAGATGCTTGCCTAAGGGTCCTTCGCTCTTTGTGCGTCTATTTGTAAGATGCCAAAGACCGAGCAGAAGGAAGGACACGTCTTGCCTGGTGTTTGTCACTTCACAGTTCCAGCTGTGCCACTCCTTGGATTCGTTGTGAGGACAGCAGACAGGTCACACACAGTGTGTCCTCCAGCTAGTCAATGGGGAGGGCACATTTGCTCTACTCAGCATGTTTTACTTTCTAGAAGCAAACCAGGGTTGTCCTCACCCCAGGCTTCAACTTGTAGCTCCTAAAGACTCCTCCCTGTGTTTACTGTGGCCAGTTTCTCTCCTACCCCGTCTCTCTCTATGTGTTCTAGTTTCCCAATCCTACAAAATGGTACTGCTGTCTCCTTCCTTGTGGCATAGAGCACAGCTCCAGCTTCCCACAATGCACTGCCCTGCCCCTCCCTCGTGGGCGAGGTGCCTGCAGAGTTGGGACCCTGTGTTCTGAACTCTTAAGGCTTCATTACACCTCCCGTACAGCTCTGCTGACCTCTGGACTGCTCTCTCCTGTACAGGCCTCCTTCCTGCTAACTGCAAGACCTAAGTTACCATCATCCAGACTGATCCAGGGTCCTCATTCATGCTAAAGGCATGAGGCTATGCCACTTTCTAGAACTGGGCACTGATGCTGGCTCTGGTATCCACCCACCATCTACTCTCTACAGGGGGCTTCCAGTCACTCTCCAAACCATCTCCTCCAAAATCTGGCAGATGCCGTGTAAGGAAGCAAGCCAAGGCTCTGCATCCCTCCAGAAAAGCAAGCAGGGAGTTTACGGTGCTACAGCACCTTCGTCCCCTTCAGTTCTCTGCTTCCGAATTCCCAGGCATGACTTCATTCCTTGACAACAGGCACCAGGCGTAAAAGCAAGCAGATCCTGGGTGCTGAATAACTGGGAGAAGGAGCAAGAAGGACGACCAGGCTGGAGCCCTAGACACCCATCATGAGAAACCCCAGCAGCCATCTGTCACCACCCAGGATAGGCAAGATCCTCAGCTTTGCTGTCCTACTATGTACTGCCTTGTCAGATGGCCACAGATAACAACAGTGGGAATTCCTAACCAGGAAGCCTTCCTTAGAGGGGCAAATTCTTATCGTGAATCTAGAGCATACAAGAAGAGTGCATACAATGTCACTCATGACATCACACTGTTAGCATGTCGGAAGGGAGAGAAACTGATATCTAGGACCGCAGTAAGGTTTTTCTACAGCTTTAAGACTTTCCCAAACATTCTACAATGGCATCTTGTGTATAATTTTAGGGCTTACAAAAATCCCTCGATATACAGACTCAGAGTTCTAGCATGGAGGTACAGGGGGCTGTAAAGAACTGTGGTCAAAAAATGAAATCTTTTTCTCCCTATGAGAATGTAGGAGAGTCACATGTAACTGGGCAGAAAGTCAACTGAGATCAAAAGGCCCCCAAAACAGGTCTGCCAAGGAAACCTAGGGGCCTTTCTCATTTTTCTCTTGAGGATTCCGAGACGATGCTCTGGTCTCTCTCACGTACTCAGTCTGTTCCTACCTGATTTTTTGAAACGCTTCCATCTACTGGATCACTGTACTCAAAATTATCGGCTTTCTCCACAGTGTAGACTTTATCGTTTGCCGAGAACTGCTTCCCCACAAAGGAGCGGTCCAGCATCAGGGCCTCCAGGTCCTTCATCATTTTGCTGGCACCCTCTGCTTCCACCTCCTCGTAGTCATACCTGGAAAAAGTGAAGTAGCTGAGACCCCTGGGCTGACGTCAGGGCATCCCAGGCAAGCAGACCACTGTCATCCTTTGTGTGCCCATCCCCCACCCCCACAAACAAGCCATCGAACTTCAGGAGCTGGCAAAAGCTGTGAACTTGTCAGTCAGCAGGGAGAGTGGGTGCTGGGGATGAAAGGGGGGTTCAGAAGAAAGGGCAGGGCTGCCTGAATAACCAGAGAACTCCTGGTTTGGCTTCTCTACAGATAGAGGCTCTAAGGTACTCCTCTACGGGCTTTGAGGAGATGCCATTACTGTCACATCCCTACATCCTGAGGAGGGAACGTGACCAGCTCTATGACCTCCAGAGAACTCTATGTCAACCAGCACATGACTCAGACCCTTCTGCTCCAAATGCCTATCGCTCTTATGAGGTGAAGGCTGGGCCTGCCCTTGGTTTGGGGCCTGTGTGAAGCTGTAAGACTGTGGCTAAGCAAAGTTCCAGTACCCACAGGAATTTCCTAGAGCAAGGCCAGAATATCAGAGACCAGATAAGTAGGTGCTAACTAGTTATGCTTCAAACACCAGTCTCCTTCAGCGGGGAGTGTAGTCTGCTTTAAATTCAGCCTGGCAGAGGGATGCCTTCAATGGATGATAAGGGGTCAAGAAAAGAAAACAGCTGTGTCACAACAAAATTCTGTGGTTATTATTTTTCTTTCAAGACTTGCTCTCAACATCTTTCTTGTGAAGTTAAAGACCTTGGCAGGCTTTCTTAACGTGATGGCACAATTCCTCTTGAAACAGTTAGAGGCTCAAGATGGCAGAATCCATTTGTTTGCTACAGCAAACAAAGTACAAGATGTTCAAGATAATACATCTGAGACAAGAGGAATACTGGAGAATTATCACTAACTTATCTGGCTCCGGGAGTCTATGTAGCTGAGACAAAATAGTCCTCTCCATCCTGAAGCTGGCGCTTCCCCCAGTTAAAACGATAAAGAACAAGAAATCACAGCCAGGTTTCTGTGCTTTGTGCCTGTGGTCTTTGGGTGTTTCGGAGAGAAGATGTTTAAATCCCAAACACAGAGGGCTAGAATGGAAAGAATTCTGGCTTTGTAACCAGAGCAAGCTACGCCTCCAACTTCTGCTAGCAGCTGCCTTTACAGAAGGGCCAGCTGTCCTGCCTCTCAGAATCCGGGTTGCCTGATGAAATAATTGTCTTAAGGCTCATGTTGGCCACTGGTGTGGAAGTTGACTAGCACTGCTGTTCAGTGAGTGGAGGGTAGAGTGGGCTCAGAACAGGTCCGAAGTGCAGGTTCTGCAGACTGCATTTGGAGTCTTTGATTGGTGTAGTATCGCTAAGTAGTGAAACTGTGGTGGAGTATTTCCAGTATGGAGGTGTGTTTAGCTATCAACAGTGAAGATCTGAACACACTCAACCTGACTCCACTCTGGTCACTGCTCATCCACATATTCACACAGTGTCTGCATGACTCAGGTGACACACAGAACATAAAAACAAACATGGTGGTGTTTTGTGAAACTCTGGGCCTAGAGAGTCCATGGCTGCTACTGTGAATGTCCTCCTTGAGGACAGTCCTGATTGGTTCCCAGGACTTCATGATGAACACATGGCAGTTTTTATTTATGCTTTCAACAAAATAATAATTTGATCAGAATCTTCTTGAAAGACTAACAAGTTCAAGTTGCTTAAGGTTGAATTCTTTTCTGAATTTCTGAAGACCATGGACTACCAGTTCTGGAATATACGCACTTTTTTTTCTTCTAAAACATCTAGTCCAATGTATCCATTTTATAAAAAAAAAAAACAAAAACAAAAAAAAAACCTAAGGGTGGTATGGGGAGCCAGGTATGGTGGTGCACACCTTTAATGCCAACATTTGTAAGACAGAGGCAAGTAGATCTTTGTGAGTTTGGGGCCAGCCAGGGCAAAATAGTGAGTGAATCCCTGCTTAAAAAAAAAGAACAATAAAAATAAAACAAGAAATGCAACTGAGGCCCAATGAAATATATCCAAAATTTTCTTACATATAAATGCTTTCTCTAATATCCCTTCTCATAAAATATTGAGATTCAGGGAAACAATTTTTCAATTTTTACACTTATTAAGGGATAGTCAAATTAGAAATAACGAAGAACACTACTGGCAAGAATGTATTTTGGGGTCCTAAAAGTAGAGCCCATAGCCTTCTGCATGCTGACCACACGGACACTTCACTCCAGCTACACCTCCAGCCTCACTCCTCATATCTGAACGCTTCTTAAAAATAAAGGCATATATGGTAAAGAAGAATTGTTAAGTGTTCTGAAATATTGTTTTCCTACAGATTTACCAGTACGTGGGAGAAAGAAAAATAGAGAGTAAATATTGGTTGGACCAATGGGTGAGAGGCTGACCAGTATCACTGGGTCCTATTTAACGAGTCAGAGAGTTGATCTGAACTGAGCACTAATTGTTTCCAGAATTGAAGGAGACACATTTCCAGGCTTTCTGAGCTCCAGACTTTACACTACATCTTCACTTAATCCTCTCAATAGCCAGACCAATATTCCTCTTCCTACAGATCAGAAAACTAATGACCTCCTAACTCAGAAAAGAAATAAAATTCATCTACTCCTATGACTCTAAACCCAGTGCTATTATTTTGCCTATTCGACAGGTACATTTAAATGCTTATTCTTTTGATTAAGCTAGCTATTTTTAAAAATCCTTGTTCTTTATGGTTGGCTTAAAAACTGACTTCATCTTCATCCTGATCAGATCATATTCAAAGTTGCCAGTTAAAGAAGCTAGGTGAACTCAGGTGTCCGTAACATTACAGACAAGATAGACACTGTCCCTGAGAATTGTCTCTGTCCACTTCCCCACAATCCCTCAAACCCAATCCAGACTGTGTCTGACCTGGTAAAGAAGTTCCGACCAAACTTCTGCCAGTGATCTTTGAGGATGTCCTCCACACTTTGCTTGCGGGTGGCCAGAATGGAGAGCCAGGCCAAGACAGCCCACAGTCCATCTTTCTCGCGAATGTGATCGGAACCTGCAAGGCAATGAGAAAGCTAGTTTTTCACAAGGCCTTGAGAGCAAGCCCAGCGGTATATAGGTACCAAAGCAGTCAAGGGGCTCCTGAGGACTCCAGGACGTGAAAGGATTCACGTGTTCAATAAAGTGGCACAATACTGGCAAACAGTGGAAGAAACTTAGGAATCAGAGGGAGATGCCAAGAAGCATCTGCGGGATGCTTTGGTAGAGCCTGGTGTATCAATTATCAAGTATTAGTGTGGGAGGAAAAGTCCAATATCAATCTTAAATAAATAATAGGAAAATATGGCTATTGTAAATTTTCAGTAAAGAAAACAGCCTGCAGCACCGTGGAAAAAACAAAACACCCAGATAGCGGTGTAAATACAGGTGAGCCTCGAGCTGATAAAGCCTCACTTTGAGCCTGTGGTAAAACAACGGACGACCTTTAATGATGTTAGCATAACTGGCTCATTACTATAAAGAAACTTCAGGGCTTGTTTTCCCCCTTAAAAAGAAAACATTTCAAATCTAGAAGTTTAAAACTCTGCTAGGCATGATGGTGTACACATATCATCCCAACACTGGAGAGGTGGAGGCAAGAAGATCAGAAGTTCAAAGCCAGCCTGAGCTATATGGGGCCTTGTCTCAAAGAAATGGGAAAAGGTGGGGGAAGACGGAAAGCCTTTAAATACTAGAAAATATCTAAATGTCTTTTTACTCTTGAGAGTAATAAATACAGGTAAATATATTGTTCAAAAAGAGAACTGACATATTTATCTACTTGAAAAATGCCTATTTCTATACAGCACTATAAAATAAATAAAATTAATTTTATTTATATACTTTAAAGACTACCTATTTACAATTGTAAAACAGGTATTAACAATACTCAGTATAGAAAAAAGTATTATTAATAAGAAGAAAGCAAGAACAAAATTTAAAAAGTATACCAAAGATACAATAGGTAATTCATAAAAAGAATAGATTATTTTGTAATTAATCAATATAACAAAAAGGCTGGCATTATTTTTTTTAATATTTATTTATTTATTATGTATACAATATTCTGTCTGTATGCCTGAAGGCCAGAAGAAAGCGCCAGACCTCTTTATACAGATGGTTGTGAGCCACCTTGTGGTTGCTGGGAATTGAACTCAGGACCTTTGGAAGAGCAGGCAATGCTCTTAACCATTGAGCCATCTCTCCAGCCCAGCTGGCATTATTTTTAAGAAGATAAATTAAAACTAAGGTGAGCAACTGGTACTTCTAGACAAAGAGCCACAGATTTAAGTTAGAACCTTGGGGTTAGGGTTATAAGGGAAATGAGATTCTGTTACAGTGCTCTTATATTACACTGGTACCACCCCTCTGAGAAGCAGGGAGGCACAAAGTATCAAACTCTTAAGGGAAGCCAATAGTGGGCAAGCCTGTTCTAGGACATCTATCTTTAAACCAGTAATGTCCGGATTAGTGACTGGGCATAACCTGCTTTTTGCTGAGGTTCTTGCTAAAATCTTCACCAAAATTAAGAAATTATCTCCTTTTGCATAGGACAAAATTTTCACTTTTATCATTTTAGCTTTTTTAAGAATCAAAACACCACAGTAAACCAATTTTCTGTTTCCTGAGAACCCCACGTGGTCTTTAGAATCATGTTTCCCATACTGCCACACTGTGATTTCTTTACATGTCTTCTTGTCCTCCTTGCCTTTTCACTTGGTCTTGTTTCCCTTGGTGTTTCAGAGTATCTGGAATGACGCTGGCCACTGTGTGGACATGTTTGGGAGTCCCTTTCCTTCCTGTCATCATCCTTTTAGACCCAGTCCAAATATCCTCTCCTCTTAGAGACTAGTTCCCAACTTCGCAGAGCAGTTCTGCGTGCCCCTTGCCTTCTCCTACAGCAACCTAAGCAAGGTCTCTGAGCCCCTCCTATCTGTTCACACTAACCATGTGCTTCTTAGATACTTGTTATTTTTGTAATTAATTCTGACAACCAGCATAGCATATTTAATTTAGCAAGAAACTAATGGTGGATGTGTGCACAAATGAGCAAGTTAATTAATTCATCCACTCCAGCACTTTCCCTTTTTCATTCAAAAAATAAATAAACATTTTCTTTCCAACATTTTTCTCTTTGATGGATACTTCTTTTAGACTGTTTTTGTTAGGGTTTCTATTGAAGATAAACACCATGACCAAGTTCTCAGTAGTCCTCATTGTCTGCTATGTTCAGCAAGTCCGGTTTTATCCCATGCTTTTTCAGACCCAGGCCAGCTGGCCTTAGTGGGTTCCCGATAGAAAATCCCCATTGTCTCAGTGTGTGGGTGCACCCCTCGCGGTCCTGAGTTCCTTGCTCGTGCTCTCTCTCCTTCTGCTCCTGATTTGGACCTTGAGATTTCAGTCCGGTGCTCCAATGTGGGTCTCTGTCTCCCTTCATCGCCTGATGAAGGTTAATATTCAGGAGGATGCTTATATGTTTGTCTTTGGATTCACCTTCTTATTTAGCTTCTCTAGGATCACACTACTGAGAACTCAAGAACAATGGCAATGGGTTTTTGATCCTACGGCACGTCCTGGCTTTGGGGGAGCCTAGGCAGTTTGGATGTTCACCTTACTAGACCTGGATGGAGATGGGTGGTCCTTGGACTTCCCACACGTCGGGGAACCCTGATTGCTCTTCAAGCTGATGAGGGAGGGGGACTTGATCGGGGGAGGGGGAGGGAAATGGGAGGCGGTGGCGGGGAGGAGGCAGAAATCTTTAATAAATAAATAAATTAATTAAAAAAAAACCACCATGACCGAAAGCAACGCAGGGGTTTACTTCAATTCTCAGCTGTAGTGCAGTGTGAAGGGAAGCTAGGGCAAGAATTCAAGGCAGGAACTGGAGCAGAAGTCTTGGAGAAATGTTGCTTACTGGCTTGATCCCAGGGCTTGCTCAATCTGTTTTTGTATACAGCCAGGGCCATCTGCCCGAGGGTAGCACCACCCATAGTGGGCTCAGCCCTTCACCATCCATCATTACTAAGGAAAAGTCTCTACAAGCTTGCCTAAAGGCCAGTTTAATGGAGGTGTTTTCTCAATTAAGATTCCCTTTCCCAGATATGACTAGGTTTGTGTCAGGTTGAAAAAAACCAACTGGGACAAGAAGTGAAGTGACATCTCAAAACCCAGAAGCTGCAAGTCTAGAGACTACAGGTAGTGCACTATAAGGCTTTAGTTAATACATTCTGGAAATACTTACATAACTTCATTACCTACAGACTTTTACTGCTATTTCAAGGAATAAGCAGCTCTCGGCCTCTCATGACTTTTACAAATGAGATGTTTTGGAACAGTTCATTCTGAGGATTCTGGCAGTTTCCCCGATACACTAGAGATTCATGATCACTTGGAATTATTTCTGTGTACCCTGGACTTTCCTTTTTGTTTTGGTGGGGTTTTCTTAAGTTTTATTTATTTATAGGAGTATGTGTGTGAGCCTGTGAGTGTTTATGTGCACCGTAAGCATGTAGAAGCCTGTGGAGGCTGAACAGGGTATCAGAAACCCTGGAACTGGCCTTACAGGAAGTTGAGAGCCACCCAGCATAGGTAGTGGGAACTGAACCTAAGTCCTCTGCAGAAACAGTTGAGTACCCTTAGCTGCTGAACATCTCTCTAGCCCCATCTGTGTTTTACAGGCAGGGTCTCCACCCTCAAGTGCTCTGACAACTGCAGGTGTGTGCCACCACACCTGAGACCTCTTTTTAAATAAGGTAAATTAATAAATTAAAAGCACACATTAACTTCTTTTTTCTTTTTAGGGATGCGGTGGTGGGTGCTAGACTAAAAGCATGAATATGTTTCCACTTCTAAAAAGAGACGTAGGGTTTTTTCTTCCTTTATGGAAAATGAAAATGAAGTCTAAAAGTCTTAGCCACTCTGACTAGGCTATCTGGAAATCACCGCATCATGCACTCACTACCATACACAAGCATCCGCCTCACACGACAGCAGCGTTCCTTCCAGCCTGCTGTGGGCTCTGCGGTCTCTTGTCTGTATTAACCTCGCATGGATGAGAACTCAGGTGATCTGGCTGCCTTCAGGAAGGCTGGATCAAGTCTACTCCTTCAGTGTTCTGATGCACAGCAATGGTTCCCAGCAACAGCGAGAAATGGCATGGCACCTCTGCTGCTAACATTTCATGGCTGTGGCGCAACAGAAAGTCCTTTTCAATAAAGGACAGAAAAGGCCAACTTGAGCTGCTGTTTCTAGGACATTTGGGTCTAAATCAGCTGCTTTACTTTTTCAAAGCCTCTGCTTTGTCATTTGTGAAAAGGGAGAGACGGCTAACCTCTCCCACAGATGCAAGACATCATCCTGCAAGCCAGCAAGTGGAGCCTTACAAAAATACAAATGCATGGTGCTCTTTGGAATAAGGAAAAAAACAGAATTTTTAGGGAGAAAGTAATGTTTTCCATTCACCATATTAAGCTTTCAAAACATAATTTCTTTCGTTGTGCATAGTGGGGAAAAATGAAAAAATATAATCCAATAAGCTTTCTCCTCTAGGTCGTGGAAACACACCTCCCCCAACCCTAAAGGTACAAGAATCCAGGCTCACTTAAATGTAAGGCAGAGAAGCCACTGTCACCCAAGTGGGGAGAAAGCTAGTGCTGGGCTTCTCTCCAAGTGTCTCCGTTCTTGCTCCAGTGCAGGGCCCTGGAGCCCGTGGGAATCCTGCCCTTTGAGCATCTTGCAACACCTGTCACTGCGCTTTGGCTTAGTCAGCAGCTTGTGGTAAGGACAAACGGGGCTCAGTCAGGGCATGCTCTGGGTCATAGGTAAGACAAATGTCAGCCCCGGCTGCGGGAGCCAAGAGTTAACGGTGTGGGGGTTTGGTTACATTTACTAGTGCTTGGGCATCTTGGGAGCTGGCCCGGCATTGCCTCTGCCCGATGACAGCCTGAGACGGGGTGGGGCAGCTGGAAAACAGCAGCGTGGACTTCTCTGAAAGGATCACTGTCATGTCTGTCTGCCTGTCTCTCTTTCTCTCTCTGTTCCCATTCCCATGAACATGCAGATCTCTCTGGAAATTTCCATGCATCCCCAGCAGCCTGGCAAACATCTCTTGTCAACTGCTGTCACCACACACTCACCCAGGACAGCACCCTTGACCTCTCTGTGCTATGGCTACCATCTCCCACCACCATACTCTACTTTTGACTATGAGCTGTGGCCACTGTTGGCTCAGGGCAGTTCTCAAGAAGGGTTGGCCCAAGAATAGCCAGTTCCTAGCTGTGTGGTGCAGGCCTATCTTGTTTCTCTTTCGGTGTGTCAACTGGAAAGGACTGGCTCCCCAGAAAGCCTTCTCTAGCCCACTCCAGCACTTGAAGGGCTCTTCCCTAGGAACGCCCAGCTCTCCACTTAGCATGTCTCCTGCACAACCTCACGACCGCTCTAGAACTGGGTTTGCTTTCTACCGAGCGCCTCTGTTGGGAGACAGAAAGTTATTGGACATGAACATCATTTTATTCAACAAGCCAGAATCAATGGCAGCATGTCCCAAGTACCAAGGTGTGTCTCCCATCCTTGCAGAAGAGCACAGAGACACGGTGAGGAGGCAGGCGTGCAGGTAACAATACGCCCAAGTTAAATACAACCAGGGTCTAAGCCTAGTCCCCCTAGGCAGTCTGCCTGCAACATCTCCAGACATGGGATGCTGCTATCTTTCCTGGAAGCACTGTGTAGCTGAGCTGAGGATGCAGCGTTTGCCTCCCGTGCCCAAGGCTCAGTTCCGAGCATGGAAATGGAAGAGCGGACTGGAAGGACGGCTGCTGCTGCACCTTTACCTACAGGCCAACTCTGAGAACCCCACGGGGAGGACTATCTCACAGGCAGCAGGCACGCAGTAACTCACAGAACAAAGTGGCATGGCCCACGTTCTGTGACGGACATGACTAAGCAGTCATCTTATATTCTTTTATTAAAAACTCAGAATTCTGGAAAATCTAGTGTCCTTTGGGACATTGTTCAATTGTCAAATTCACCTTCCTTCCTTTTCTTTCTTTTTTTTTTTGTTTATCTGTTTGTTTGTTTTTCTGTTTTGTTTGTTTCAGACAGGGTTCCTTGGTGTAGACCTGGCTACAGTGAAATTCAAACTCAGTGATCCACTTGTCTCTGTCTCCCAAGTGCTGGGCTCAAAGACATGGGCCACCGCCGTCCTGCTTCCCCTCTCTTTCTTAGTTCTCGATTCCATCAGGTCAATTTGCTATCAAGAAGCGGTCACTCTCCCAAGAGGAGTGAACTGCTTAGAACCTCATAAAAAGTCTAACAACTCCACTGCCCACCATAAACTCCAGGTTCAGAGGAAAGGGGATCAGGATTTGGTCCTTATTAGCCAGCATGAACTGCACTCTATTGCAATGCTTGGTGAATGCTTGGTTTTGACCTTTGTTTTACTAAAGGGTAATCAGACAGTAATAAAGGATCACAGAGATGAGCCCCTTTACTTTAAAATGCTGGGCAGAGAGAATGTAAGACGTAAGACTCCTTGAGTGTCTTGCAGCCTGGCTGACTAGAAATGAGCACAGGCCTGGAGAGGAGCAACTGACTCAGGTGCAATGGGACAGTAGGGAAAGTCATGGGGGAGGCTAGAGCTCGGGTCCGTGTTTGGACTGGCAGAGGTGAGAAGAGAAAGCACAGAGATGGGACTCAGACCACCAGACCCCACTCCATGCCACCCTTTCTCCGGCTCTAGTCCACACCCAGGCCCGCATGCCAAGGCTACATGCTTACATTTTTATCACCCATCAACTTAGTCTCACCCTCAAGGTCTCCTTGAGTTAAGCCTGATACATCATAATTTGTTGCTACAGAAAACTTGGCTCCATGAAAGGGAAAGATTTAATGACATGCCAAAACCTTTTCTTACATAAAAACAAAATAAAACAAAAAAAAAAAACCTGACTTGTTCTACCATATTTCTCCTTAGAAATGAAAACATTTGCAAGGTTTCCTTGGCCACTAAGGGAAGAAAACTGTGTTTATCGTGTGTTTAATCCATAGAGACTCAAAGACCAAGGCTGCCAAGGAGGTCCTCAAACTTCTGTCTCAGTAGTTGTGCTCCTCTGGAAGTTAAGCCAGCCCTCCTGTCCAAATGTGCCCACTGTTTTTCCAATGTGTATACTTCACCAGGTTGTCGTAAATAAACTCTGTCTTGATTTAGGGTTCGCTGGCTCCCGCTGCTATTCTAAGATCTAGACAGTCTAAACTTTCCCCTGAGGCAGAGGTTGTGGGAGAGAAACTGCTAGCGTGAGCACAACTTACCAGTCCCGAAGCTCTCCTCCCCACAAAGGGACAGTTTGCTTGCATCCATCAAGTTCCCAAAAAACTTCCAGCCAGTTGGGGTCTCATACAAAGCGATCTTTGTGGCGTTTGCTACCCTTCAAAGGCATGAAATCAAAGTTACATCCCCGCAGGACTGTGGACAGAGCAGCCATCAGGGTAACCAAGGGTCCCATTTAACTTTTCTTAGAGGTAGACAGAATTCTATGTATGGTGGAAAATCAGAAAAGAAAATCTGGCACAAGGGGCTCTTTTTTATGGACTCAGAGGAAGGTGGAGAGGAGGGGAAGAAAGGATTTGTTCAGATCACATTGTAATACTTAACAGGAGTAAAACAGCAGGGTTGGGCATTTAAACCCACATGTCTGTGTGCAAAACACATGTACAAGTGTCCCTTAAAGAGCCACAGAATGGCGTCTCCACGGGCTTACTGACAATGATGGGTCAGCATTTCACAGGGAGGTGCAGAGCAAGTCACACAGGCAGATGACCCACAGCCTGTTCTCAACTTCCAGCCAGTGCTTCCTCCTTATCACCAGACGTCCCAGCTGCAGGGTCTCCATTCCCAACAGCCTCACCCACTACGATAAGCAGCCTTGTTCTCCATCAAACCTTTTACTCCTTCCTCTATAGCTTTAGACTAGCGCAAGGCCCTGCAACAGACTCCCCGCACTGAGAAAACCGTGAAGGAGGGAAGAACTTTGGAGTGACTTTTTAGCCTGTTCCCCCACCAAAGCCCTTTCTGTTTGCATAGTTGAAGCTGCCTGATAGTTTTAATGCAGCCTCGGTGAGATATCTATTTCAAGATGCCTGACCCCTTCTTCCAAGCAAAACTGGGTGGCTCGCGTCTAGATTCTAACAGGGAAGGAAACCAAATCTATGATTCTGAGAACCATGAGAACACTTTTATTTCAGATAAGGTGTTTCAGTTTCGATTCTATACAGGTTATCAATTTTTCCAAAAATTCTAATCAAAGTACTTCTGAAGAGACACAGAAGGCATTTCAGAGCCACCACAGTATGGCACCAAGCAGTTGTGAGCTCCAGGGTTGCATCTGGAGGCAGAAACACAGGCTTCGGGAGCTGCTCTGGGTCAGCTGTGTGTCCTAGTGGGGCTGGCAACTCCTGACTCTCAGCTCCTCACTTCTGAAGTTAGGGTGCCAGGGAGGATCAAAGGATGGAGAACATGAAGAACTCCACAGAACTCACCTTCTGTCCGGCATTAATCATTCTTTCCTTAGTAACTGAAGTGAAGCCAGCAGTAATTCTGTGACCACCTAGCAGTTGGGTGCCAAGGCTGTGTTCAAATCCTAACTTAGCCATTTCCCAGCCGGCTGAGCCTAACAGCCTCCTTGACTTTTTGACGTCTACCAGTAAAGTGGGGCTATTAACAGCATTAAATATTAACAGCATTTAAGGAAATGACTTACTCAAATATGTAAAGTATTTATTGTCCTGAACAAGGGACCATTCTTAAGCTTAGCTGCTACTGTGTCTAGACCAATACAGTCCTCTTTTTCATGATCATGGCCTTTTACTCATTCGCTCTTGACCAGTTATTTAGCAAAAACTTTCTTCTGAGCTCCAGATATGTTCTAAAAGCACCCCGCTTGTTATTTCTTTTCATCTTTAGTTGTTTTACATGCGCACTGCTCAACAAAAACGATCCTGCACAGCTCAAGAATCATACCTTGCATACAAAGGCAGTGCCAAACATTCATGTAGTCACTAAAATTCACTTACTTGCTCATTTAAAAACAAAAAATGCATGTGTGTATACCCTACAATATGTAGGCACGTTGTTAAGCAGAATCTAGGATACTGAAAAAACAAAACAAAACAGTGCTTTCTCTGCAGAAGTGATAGGCTAGTGGAGCAGTCAATCAAACAGACGGAGTTGTCAGAAACCAGGGTGGTGAGTCTGGTCAGGAGGAGCAGAGGATGCTGGGAGAGCTCAGAAGAGGGCTAACCCTGAAAACAAGACACTGCAGCACTGTCTAAGCTGAAGCACAAGGACACATGCTCCAGGCAGTGAAGAGCATGAGGAAGAACAGTATGATCCAAGAACGGAGACCTACCGATCCAGGGCGCCACTTGTGGGCATGCTGCGTGCAAAGCCACGGACCCCGGTCTGCTGGAAATATGGAATGCTGAAGATGTTGGCAGCGATGACGGCCACAGAGTCAGAGGGGTTCACAAAGAACCCATGCTTGCCTAGAATCATGTTCCGATCCTTTGGAAGAAGAGAGGCTCAAAGTAAGGACCTTTTAATCAAACGGTAAACAAAAGCAAACGATCATCTGCTGAGTGCTAGAAAATTCAAAATGGACCCTATCCTCACACTGGGCTTTAAACACTGGACTCTAAGTGGATTTGTACAGCGCCGTTTGACCAAAGGCACCTCCGTGCTCAAGAGTTAAAACTGGTTTCAATTAAAGTGCAAGCACAACCCCCCCCTCTGAGCTAAACTCTCTGTTCTCCCTCCAGGGGCCCACTAACTTTAACCTCCTAGACCTTCCCAAACTCTGGAACCAATCACATCCCTCCCAGAGGGGGGGAAAGGATGTACACGGGAGGAAATGCTGGCTGCTGACGCGGTTTGACATGTCTGCTGGGCATCCTTTGAGGAACAAAGGCCGAGTTCTTCAAGGCAGGACTGCTAAATCATGCCCCCCCCCCATTTGATACCGGACCCAACAAGAAAGGCTGCCACCTTCGCTGTTTCCGAGGTGCCTCATGAACAGCTGCACTTGAGCACCAGAGAACATAGAGGAATGTTAGCCCAACGCCAGCCCAACGCCAGCCCGCGCTGCACTGGAAGATGCTCTGTGACACGGTACCTGCCATGAGCCCCTTTCATTTCCCTAAATCTTGATATGGGGGAAATTAGTTTTCAGGAAGCCATGACTTGTAGCTGGTAAAGCAACAAGTAAAAACTCAGCGCGATAAACAGCGCTTGCTGTCTACGACACACCTAAGACATAATCATCTTGATTTTCACACGGTCACCAAGCTAAGGAGCAATTTATACACAAAATGTTCACAGTAAAGAAAGGGTAAAATGGTAATCCTTTTAACATAATCGTTATATTGGCTCTAAATAGTTTCACTATCCAGCTAGCATGAATGCAAGGGTATATTACACGCTGAAAACCTTCTCTGGAGGCTAGATGACTAACCAGGGGCTGGCTGAGATCCACCTTAGGATAAGTGTCTAAGACTCCAACAGCTTATGAAGCATAGTCATTAAATCCTAACTGCACCTAAGCCCTCCTACTCAGCAAATTTGAGCGCCTGAAATTAAGTGCATTGGTTACACTAAAACTCTTGTTTCTGCTCACGGAGGGTCTTTCACTTACTTGGCCTTGGCCTCTGGCACAATAAAAGGCCCTAGAGAGCCACTCACCAGGCTCCCAGGGCCCAGGCAGAAACTGTTCATTTCCCCCCAACATCTACAAGGTCCAGCTTGTTGAGGATTCATTTAAATGTACATAGACTCACCCCATCACCATCAAAGGCAGCCCCAAAATCATGCTCTCCTGACTTCATGGTCTCCACAAGGTCAGCAGCATAGGTGAGGTTGGGGTCAGGGTGGTGGCCTCCAAAGTCCTCCAGGGGAACACAGTTCACCGCGGAGTTTGCGGGGGCACCAAGCTCCTCACAGAGGATCTTCTTTACATACGGTCCCACAACTGTAACAAATTAAAATATGAATAGTCAAACATCAAACTATATAAAGCTTTTGAAGGTTGAAGGGTGGGCCGAACACACTTTGGGGCTAAGAATGGTGTGGACAGCTTCAAACCTTTCTCATGCAGGAAGAAGTAGACTTGTTCTGTTAAAACCAGGGGGGCAACAAGGACCCAACAGAAGGCTGGAGCCCAGCAGGAGAAGACTTCCTGAGGGAGGTCTGCAGTGTGCCAGGACGCTCTGACCACTGTCAGGTCTCACAGACCCACGAAAGGGCTCGGGCACAGGCACTCTTCCCCAGTACGTGGTTCCACACCCCTGTCACTCAGATATGTTACGGTTTTGAACTGTTGCAGAAAAGGCAGAAAACCTAGTCATGAATTTTCATGTTCTATATAAGGGAAAGCCTCACAGCTTTGGTTCATAGACATGGTTGTCCCTCCTGGCCCGGTCAAACAGCCCACGGAGGAAGAAGATGGTGTGGGAGCTACGCATCCTGCTGCTGCTGAAGTTAATCTTCAGCTTGTGCTTGCCCTCCGCTAAGAGTGGGTGGGGGTGGGTGGGGCTTAGAACATATCCCACAGGGCACTAGCAAGCCAATGGCACCCTTCAGAGCATATGTGGCTGCACAAGAAGAATGTAAGCGACCTGCCGAGGGACAGAAAAGTATCCACAACAGCTGCATGGGACTCTAAGGCCAGGGCTTCCTGTGAAAACACTGACCTTCACACCAGCTTACCGAGAGGGACAGCTCTACTGTTCTGCACGCCTACCATGAGATTTATAACTGTGTAAATATGGGTCTGAAATAGTTGTGAAATAGCTCTGTCTAAGCTACTGGAGGCTTAAGAAGAGGGTTGTGAAGGCGTCAAGGCACACACAGTAGAGAGTAACCCCCATCTTTGCAGATCCACAAGTCTGTACCTCCATGCATGGCGTCTATGCGGATCTTCAGTCGGTTAGGACCGGACAGTAGCTCCTTCAGTGCATTGAAATCAAAGATGTTTCTCAGCATTGTGGCATAGGCCTCCACCGAGTCCACAATCTCCACTGTGAGAATAATAAAAGGAAAAACAAAACATATCCAGACATATTATACTCCAAACTAACTATATTTCTATCAACCTTCAGTAACCATTCAAAAGGGCAACTGTGACAGCTGTTAAATGTCATCTTATTCACACTAACAATTTTCCTTGGACATAAATATTACTCATGTGATTTTATAGGCAACGAAATTCAAGGTTTAAAAGTCAGAACTTGCACAGCTAGGGTAGGACACTTGAATTCCCAGCAGAGGCCAGATGAACTCTGCTATGTTGCCACTCACTATCCCTACACATCCCCCAAATTGTTTCTATTTTGACATCATGGATGACAGAAAAAATAATGTCATCTTTTCAATTTTATTTTCCAAGGTTAAGTAAAAGGAAGAAGAAAAACCCACTTTCTGCATATACTACTAGTGGCTAAAACTAGAATTATCTTTGCTCAGGAATTCTGTGTATATTCAATGCATGAGGAGTCTATGGACCTCTCTAGTGGTGCCTTCCAAACCTTAAGAACATGTGACACTTTGTGTTTATTGCAGTACAACTGTCAGCCCCTGGTGCAGTCCCTAAAGTTGTTTGTGTTTATTGAGGTGCAGCTGTCAGCCCCTGGTGCACCCCTTAAAGTTGTTTGTGTTTGAGGTACAACCGGCAGCCCGTGATGCACCTTCTGAAGTTGTCCAGTGGAAAAAAGACAAGCTGAGCTAGGTCAAATACAGGCCACAGAGGTCTCTTAATATGAACTTATATATGTTTACTTCATAGATCACTGCAATACCTTGGCATTCAACAACAAAATGTGACCAATGGCTCCCTTTTTGGGGAGTTTCATGATGGAGGAAGGTCAATGGTTAAAAAATAAAGAAACTGCTTGGCCCTCATAGGTTAAAACATAGGTGGGAGGAGTAAACAGAACAGAATGCTGGGAGGAACAGGAAGTGAGCTCAGAGGCCATGCTCCCCTCTCCCCGGCAGACACGATGAAGCAAGCTGCCAGGTCAGACATGCTGACTCTTTCCTGGTAAGACCGGTGCTACACAGTTTATTAGAGATGGGTTGATGGGGATATCAGAATTAGCCAGTAAGGGCTAAAGCTAATGGGCCAAGCAGTGTTTAAATGAATACAGTTTGTGTGTTGTTATTTCTGGTGTAAAGCTTGCCATGCGGGAGCCGGGTGGGACGAAAAGCAGGCCCGCAGCTCCTACTACAGTTTCATGCAACCCAAATACATGGTTTGACCAATTCGAAGGAATGTCAGGGAATGGGGAAAAACTGAAAGCCAGGCCTGAGCACCATTCACAGAGTCTGAATGCAGGTTTTACTGTCACTGACTAGTGTGAGCCTGTTTTCTGATCCCTCTCTGCTTTGCTTCTTTCTCTGCTGACAGTCTGAGGGACAGTGTTGGCCCCACAGGATGGCTATGAGAATAAAATGGAACATTGCACAAAAACAAATATAGGAGAAGCATAAGATCAATCAGACAGGTCTTCTAGTCAAGGCTGTTATGAAACTGAGACCCAGAGAGTTGGAAAGGAATCACCCAAAATCATACAGCCCAACACTCACACGGCTAATGGCCCAGCTCTCTACACTCCCCAGACAAACTCCAGACCTGCTAAGTAGTTAATCCATGCAAAGTTCATGGTCCACAGTTTTCCAAAGCTGAAGACCCATTCTCACAAAACCTCAAGAAGAAAACTACTCAAGCTGGAGACAGGAAGGAATGTGTAGGGAGAAAAGAGTAACACACTTGTGAGGAAGGGCAGGAGACAAGGAAGGTAAACCTGCCTGTGAAGGGCTTGAACTTGTTTTCCAGATCAAACTGCTGCTTTCCCAGAACACTGAGGTCTACCTTCAAGTCAGGACAAATGGCATATTCTTCGATTGTCTTGCTGATTTGGAAAATTTTGTCAGTGATTGCTTCTGGAGCAGGACCTACAGATCAACAAATCACACAGCAAGCAAAGGTCATCATGTGCAGTTCACGTGAACACACAGCCTGCCACTCGGCAGTTCCTCTCCCCTAACACACTTCCACTGAATCACAAAGCATCAAGACTCTCTTTCCAGGAGACTTTGAGATACAGCCTCACTATACAGTTTATATTGGCCTTGAAATCACGATTCTCCTGCCTCAGTCTTCTATATGCTAGGATTGCAGGCATGTGTCAGTTAATAGCAATTAGAATTTCCTAAAAGAAAATCCCATTTTAGTTGCAATTCATGTATGGTTCCTCTGACAAGGAAGATACAGCAGAGTTCAGAAGCACTTTGCCATCTCCAAAGGGAAGCAAAGTCCCTTCTTAAGGTGAGAACCAGAGCCCAAGCCTTCCAGTATTTCAGGTACTAGCGTATCCAACTGAATGTCTGACTGTCCTCAAAATGACAGAACACTCACCCCCATTAGAAATATTGAATTTAATCCCAAAATCTCCGTTGGGCCCTCCTGGATTGTGGCTGGCCGTCAGAATGATCCCACCAATGGCTTTGATTTTTCGGATGATGCAGGACACAGCAGGAGTGGAGAGGATGCCATTCTGTCCAATAACCAGACGGCCAATCTAGGAGAAGAAATACAGAAAATATAAATCCAAAGCTACCACAAAAATGCCAGGGCAAGAAGAAAATGGACAATGGAAACACTGTTGGACCAGCAAAGATGTTTTCTTTAAAAAACATCAAAAAGCATCAGCATATTGCATGTCTCCACCATATTACTGAGAGAGGACCAAAGCTACTGAACAAAGCCATTTCCTTTTCTTTCATTCTTTTTTGTAGCTTTGGAGTAGTGTGTTGGGTAAGGGTATGGGAAGAAAACATAGTGCATGTGTAATAATCTGTACAGGTCAGGATCTCAGTGTGGATGGACTGAAGGATTGTGAGAAAACCTGCATTTTTATCCAACTCCATCCTATTTTCCATCAACAATGAGAAAAAAGAACACAGGCTTAACTAGTGAAAGGCGTTCTAACCTAAGAAAAGGCTTTTGCAATTAAGACCTTTAAAAAGCAAAAAGATTGCACATGATGTCAAAATGCATCTTACAAATTTATCTTTCCAAGCATGCTTGGCTTTTGCAAATAGCATTCCTCACTATATATCATGTTAGGGTATAGACTGATTACCTCCTGAGCCTACGACAAGGATATGATGGCTGCTGAGGAAACTGGTCAGACCCATCTACATGGAAGGGACATGGGGACTTCTGCCTTGTTCCTAACTCACTTTCCTGCATTGCGCAGTTGTTATCAGCCCAGTTCTTGAAACTTCCCTTGCTAAAATGAAGCCTATTTCAACATGTCCCAAGTTGGAAAGATGTCAGGTCAGCGCCTGTGACTTCCCTGGGGGAGGTGGGACCACCGTATTTTGTATTAAAAATACTTAGAACACAGGAAGTTTGTGCCTGATCTCTTTACTGTTCTGAAAGAAGAAAGGATCAGGAATGTCTTTTAATTTTCCATTAGGTGCGTTTGTTTTTTGATAGTGGAGATGACTTGGCAGTAGAAGATGCATTTTTTAAATTTTATTTTTATTTTTAATTATGTATGTGTGTGTGCATGCCTGTGGGGGGTGTGTGCACACAAATGTAGGTGCACACAGAACCCAGAGGTGCTAAGAGGCTACTATGAGTTGCCCAATACGGGTGCTGGGAACGGTCTGCAAGAGGACTCACTCTTTTTTTTTTTTTTAAGAGGACCCACTCTTAAGAGGATACACTCTTAAGCACTAAGCCATCTCTCTAGTCCAGAAGATGTATTTCTAATGTGAAAATGCCCACAAGAAACCTGGATTCACTGGAGAATATGTAAGGAAGCCTTAACTTTGTGAGTCCCATCTGCACTTACAACATGTCACTCAAAACTTGAGTTCTTGTGATGCACCCCATTACCAAACTCCTTACAGAGAGAGAAAGCACCTCTTTTCCCTCACCTCCATTAGTTCTCATGTCTTTAACTAAGGGGAGCTGGTAGACAGTATGACTACTGCATTCCACGGAACTTTGGTCCCTGAAAGTGAATTTGTTCCTCCCAGGTGACATTCCCAACGCTGTCCCAACCCCAACATCTCTTCCTTCTGATAAGTACTCATGGGAAAGAACTACAGCCATAGCTGGACCAACGACAGGAGCATGTCACAGAACAAGCTGGCTGTGTCGGGGAAAGGGGAAGGAGAATGTGAACATGTCGCCCCTCCAGGGATTTCTTCATTCTAGAAATGAAGCCAGAAATCAGGTAATTTTAGATTTCTCTGTTTAAGAGTCATTGAGTCATCTAAAATGGTTTCTTTGCAGTGAACACACCACCTTTCACTTCGATTTTCTATGTATTTGGTTTGAAAGGAAGGACTGACAAAGAGTACGCTAAACCACACAAACCACCCTTCATTCTACCAGTTCTTAAGCTGAGATCTGTGGTCAGTCAGGACTACTTCTCTCTTGACAGCTGAAGGCTCTAAAGCAGGCTCCTGTGGACCGCCTTGGCCTGACTAGGGAAAGCAATGCCCGACCCTCATCCTTAAAGATGCCCGCGCCACTGCAACCACCCCTCACTCCACCTCCCACCAACCCCTCCTGGCTCCACCAGGCTGAATCCCACCATGATGCTCATCCGCGTGATCTTCACACAACTCTGTCCTTCTGCTAAAAACAGATCCCTATTGTACACGATTCCCCCAACCTGCCCTCCCCAGGCATTCATCCCTGGAGACTGGGAAGCAGGACTCGGATGCTCACACAGCGGTGTTTGTAGTAGCATCACTCACAACAACCAAAGGAAAAGAGAACCCAAACGATCTGCGCGAGAAGAAAAAATAGATACCCAATGCATTGCACAAAATGGAGTATTATTCAGCCTTGAAACAGAAATCAGATTGAAGAGTGTTACACAGTGAAAGAGTGGGTGGGGAGTGAAGAAGCAGGGACAAAGCAGATTACAAAGAAGGACCTCCTGTCACACATTATAATATGGATGAGCCTGAGGATGTCACACAGACAGAGAGATAAGGCATGATTCCACTTACATAAGGTACCCAAATCATCAAAACCACAGAAACAGAAAGGAGAATGGAGGCTGCTGGGGGCTGGGGGGTAGGTGAAGAAATAAGGAGCTCCCAGTGGGCACTGATGAAGATGAGAACATTCTAGAGACACGCTGCCCCAATGGAATACAGCTAACTCTACCAAACCACACAACTGAAATGGCTGTGCCCATGGATGATGCTATGCTATGCAACTGATTACTGTATTCCGAGGTGGCATTGCTATCTATACACTGGGAAGTATTGGAAGAGCATCTGTAGGATCAACATTCATTTTTTATTTTCTTTTTTGAGACAGCATTTTGCTATATACATCCCAGTCTAGCCTCAAACTCACAATCATTGGCTGTAGCCTCCCAAGTGCTGAGATGACAGGACTAGACAAGCATGCCTGGCTAGAACTCTTTCTAAAACTCAAGGAGAAGGGAATGAAATTCTGGCCTGTGCTTGGGCATGACAGTCTTGGAAATGTTATGAAGTGAACTAGGCCAGACACAGAAAGACAAGTACTGGCCATTACTGACGTGAGGGATCTAGGAGAGGCAAGGGCAAGGCAGAAGGGTAGCATCAGAGCTACCCGTGGCTGGAGAAAGCAGGTGTGAGAGCGATTCTGTAATGAGTGCAGAGTTTCTGTTTGGGATGATGAAAAAGTTCTGGTGATGGATAATGATGGTAGCACAGTATTATAAATGCCACTGCAAACGCTTAAAATGATAAATCTAATGTTGCATTACCTTCCCCAGTAAAGGGAAAACACAGCTTGCTGGTCATGTTTCATTAAAAAGGAGGAGGAGGAAGAGGAGGAAGATACCCTCCTCTCCATTTTCTTTGTCCTGCTAGCTACAAGCATAGTCCTTCTTTTAACCTCTGACCTTTCTCCAGTTCAATGCTCTGGGCACAAAATAAGACACCAATAGTCTACATGGAGCCCACCAAAGACTCACCTTGTGCATTAAAATGTCCAGTAAAAGTAGACAGCTCCATGCAAATGAGAACCAAAAAACTTGCTAATGAAGCCTAATTACTTTCTATACTCCACAGATGCACCAGATAGAGAAAGAAATATATAGACGCACCAGTACACAGAAAGGGGGAGCTGACAGGCTCCATTTAGCTCCATATGCTAAAAAGTCATCCCCAAACCAGTTGTGAGGGTGGGGGATGGCTACTGACAATGGTGAGCAATGCTGTCTTCTGCTAAAATCCACAGTAATAACTATCTTTCTTTTAGATTTCCTGCATCCTACCACAACCGGAGATGTTAAAGCCGTCAGAATGTGGGCTATGTTAGAAAAAGGAGAAACTAAGCAAGGTCTTTAGAGTCTCACGGTTTCTATCAGACTGGAGTACTTTATCAGTCCACTCAACGTCTTTAGAGCAATTCAGCCAGCATGACTGCTTTCAATGCAATGCTATTTTTAATAAGGAATGTCCTTGAAAATATTGCTCAAGCTGTCACAGCCTTAACAAATAGGCAGTTACCATATTTAATCAATTATTATCTCTGAAATCTATTATTTAGCAAACCTTCAGACAATCAGAGACAGTCTGTAAGTCCGCCTGAATTACACACCCCCAACACCTCTTCCCCAGCTTTCAGCTCCACACAAAAAAACTTTAATGAAGCCAAATCTATCAGAGCAAAGGGGACAGTGTACCAGATCCACTCAACAACCTAGATATATGGAGAAATAATGTTCCACTCGTCCCTCTCAAAAGATTAAAGCATCTTTAATACCATTCCCTGTGCAGCACTCCTCAAAGATGAAATTTATGGCATGTCACATTTTATCTTAAAAATGTATGTGCTTCATAATAATTCCATATTTGAGTTCTTTATCAGCAATTTTTACATGACAGGCATTCAGATTCTGAACCTGAGGGTTGAAGGAAACCCACACTGTAGAGTAGTTGGTAACACATCTCTGTTTACTCTGGTGGCTTGCCTTCTGTTGTTTGCTCTTGCCAACACCTGCTTGGCACAGTATTACAACAGTCTGACAATGAACGCCCAACACATCTGACCGCAGTGCTAAGGGGTATGCGCTCCGGGCCAGAATTTCTTCAAGAAAATAGTACAACAAACTTTCAAAGTCTGTAGCTAGTAAAGGAATGTGTACCCCAAATTTTAGCTAAGTATCATTTAAAGCACCCCCCTTCCCCCACCCCCACAAATTGGTTTTGGGCCCCCAGAGGGATCTGTAGAACAAAACAGCAATGCCCTGACATACACCTTCCTGTAGGAGTGGGCTGGAGAGCTGCTCCACCATAGACCAGGGTTTTCACCATTTTACTTCTACCGTGCTTCACCCAGCCCATGTGTACCCATGATGCAGCACTGACAGAGCCTATTACATCACTGCCATCCAGGAGCTGTTAGCGCCACCCTGCTGCACAAACCTAGCCTCACACAGGGCATCTTTGTGTCTGAGGTCATCATAAGCAGACCATCTGGAACGGTCCTCCCTGAAGTCACACACCTAACCTCCAATCCACACCCCAAATCCCCACCCCAAGCACTTTT